TTGGGGGGGGGGGGGGGGGGGGGGGCATCCGAAAGACGTGCCTTAAGATTTTCATTGGCACCACGGGTGTTTTTGATTCTGAACTGTACCCATATGCCAAAGCCTCAACAACATTAATGTCATTTCATAAGAAATGTGACTGTAAAGTGTTTTTAATCAAATACACAGTCTATTGTCCTTTTGATCGTCCACCAAAAGATGAGGAAAAAATTTGTAGATATCCTTCGTATGTTCAGTATTTCTAGTAAATGTGCCTTTTTTGTGGCAGTACATATCAGTATGCAGGTTCAAAAAATAAGAACGGTCATCAAAATGTGTTAAAACCCAAACATTACCTCAAGGCACCATCACTTTTTAAAGTCACATGAACAAGATATGCAAAACAGTTTATGCAATATGATAAACACTTAGTGATGTCACATTAAAATACCAGACATCGGTTGTTATGACTTGAAGTGTTAAATTACAATGCAGAATTTGAGATAGACCAGTATTAAAGATATGCACTCTAATTTAGTAGTGGTCCACATGTCAGTGACAAGAACTGTAAACTTCCCCATCTTTACGCAGCATTCATAAGAAATTGAAGATTTTACACACACCACTGGACGTTCATTTTGGAGATGGGTGCACCTCAGTGGATGCATACAAGGTACGGATTATTGCCACTGAAGATATTATATACAAAATTAATTAGAGTAACTGTTAAAAATTGCAGCATAAAGCAAATTTAAAACAGCATACAATGTAAAGGGAAACATGACAACACAGTTCCAAATTTTCAATTAAAACTTCAGTAACAAAATTGGAAAACTCACTCATCTGTCTTGAACATCAAGCAGAAATGTGACAGCAGACTTGAGGGGAAAGACAGATTATGAAGTGTGACACTTTATACAAGAGGTACATTAAGAAATTAGTCTAAAAGAGTTCCTGGACAGTTGGATAGTTACAGCCAGTTTCACAATACAACGCTCCAATTTCATGTACTACATGGACGAGGTTGTGTTCTGTACATACCTTGCCTTGCATGATAAGCCTAATGGTAAGGGTGACAGTGGGGTCATCATTGGGCAGAGGCTTGTCCATGGAATCCATGCTGTGGTGATGTCTGGTCAGTATAAAGGGGGTGGTAGTGTGGCGACAATCGGCTTGCTTCAGTCTGCGGACCAAACAAACACACAGTGAGTTAGTGGGAGAAAGCAGGGTCACTCTGGTAATGCTGGGGTATTACCTAGAATATGACATCGCCTCTTCCATCACTCTAAACGCAATGGCTGTCATAACTCCTGGAGAAAGCAAGATAAAATACCTCTTGACACCTTTCAACTTTGAGAAATAAGAACTGGTCATTATTTCCTATCACTTCAGTCATTCATATATACATACATACATGTGTGCGCGCGCACACACACACAAACAAACAACCCTTACCTGACTCTGGTCTAGATACTTCTGACACAAAAGCGCTCTTGTAGAGGAGAGCGGAAATACAGGATGCCATACAAGTGTTATGGGGGCTCATACACAACAAATTCTACAAGCTCTTGTGCACTACTTACAGGAAAGCCTGCACAAGCTTCCATACATGCAGGAGACAGAAATCAAATAAATTTATTTGTCTATACTGAAGCTTCCACCTACACAATGGAATCAGAACTACAAGGCAAATATTATATATTCAAATGCAAAGGTACAGCACAATCAGAATAACAAAGATGTGATGAAAGTAAATGTGCGTTCGGCCTGGGATATCATTTTAATAAACACGGATCAGTAGTCGGCTGTGCGCCGTGCATTCATCACAGACATATTCCTTTAAGAAATAACAACGCTGTGACTGCAATGCAACAAATATTCAAACAGCATTTTAACAATCGGAGACATGGAAAGGTTCCCGACAGGACTACTAAACACGGTAGTAGGTAATGGCAGAGGCACGCCAGTTCATCCTACCACGAGCCACTGCAATTAAAACTATTTTTCTGAGATACTATTAACATAAATAAATGTTTGACCTTTTATTGGATCGGGTTAACTCTCTCAGGACACAACTAGAACCTTAAAATCCTAAATACCCTACACATACCCAATTGTACAAAATTACTGCCAATGGATTTTTCAATTCATCTGTATTATGACAACCAACTAAACACCACAGAAAGCTGACTCACGTACTGGAAGATGAACTTGACCATGTTCAATATCAGTCAGATTTCCACACAAACAGACAAGAAAATTTTTTTTAAATAAAAATACCTCTTCAGGTAACATTTGCCATCACTATGAACACAATAGGTAAAACGTTTTCAAGTTGATAATGACTTCAAATGACCAACAACATTTTACATGAAGGCCTAAGCACAGTCTGCGTGCAGTAAAAACACCAGTGAATACTGGAACGATACATTTTTCAGTTCCAGATAGGTACTTAACCCTGTGATAAAATGATACACAGTACACAATTCACTCATTTGAAATCATAAGTCAGAAATCCATCCAGATACACGGGCCGACCTGACACCAAAACTGAGCAGTAATATCGCTGCATGTACGCCAAAGTCAGCTGGTAGATAGAAATAAAGCAGTGCAGTATAAACTGTGAGATTCAAGTGCTCGATCTCAAATACCTGGGCACATACAGAATGATAAAATCATGCAACTCATTCCTGGCACATATTCTATTTCTCAAAGAAACAATTTAAACTGCAATAAAAAAAGTTATATTAAGTGTTCAAAACGTCGACCATTCTCTGCTTCGTCGATTAACACCGAAGGTAAACATAAACGGTTTCTGTTCCGCAAGATTCTTGTGTTGTTTGAAACAGGATCATCACAAAGTGTATACCTGAACTCGCTGTACCAATTAATATGGGTTGCATGAGTGTCCGATCTTCCTGTATAATCAAGACTGTGATGTGTAAACCAAAAGAACTTTTTCCTTAAAAAAAAGGAAATGCATAGAACAAAGCCACCTTTTAACTTCCTAAAACCCAAACAGTTTAATCACTGATACATGTCAGATCTACTGCCAGAACTGAGACTCAGATTAAATATTATAGCTGATAACAGAACAGCTTAAAAAACACCACCCACGATGAAATTAAAAATGGCGTTACGGTACATTCTAGATAAAATAAGTACTAATAAGCGTGCCATGAGCTCTAGCAAAATTTAATTGTAAGAGAAAGTGACAGAGACGCAAGACAAACAAATGGTGGTGGAACAACGGGCCCATGAACCACGAGGAATCAATACCAAGTTATAAATAATGTGACAAGACAGAGCATTATGACAAGATAAAGAAACCTCTCAACAGGACCTGGAAGCCATACACGAGAATTTCCAAGATGCAGTTGGTGGGGGCAGAAGTACGAACAAGACACATGGTGGAGGTATCTTAGGCACTAGCATAGACAATGTGAAACAACGTCAGTAAGATGGATCTGCACCCTGGATAGCATCCCACCACCAATGTGAGGCCATTGCTATATACAATGAGGAAACATCCTACAAGAAGGCTGTACTGCATGCACAAGAAATTGACATCCTTCACAGTGGTCCAACCTGTGTAGCAAACAACTCTGTTTGGGCTATGAAGAACCGTCACGGAAACCGCTCGGTGGCAGTGACCACTGTTGTTAACTTCTGGCCAGGATCCAGTTGAGTCAAAAGTCACTGCAAGCATCTGCAGCATCTATCAAGCAATTAGGGCGCTGGGCCCTTGTATAATTACTCGCCGACTTCATCTCATTAAAGGCAGTGACTGGTCACCCAATAACGCCTTCAACCACATCCTTAAAACAGAGGTGGTCAGTGCAGAAGTCTAAACAATGACAATGAGATGAGTACAGCCCACATGGGAATGCAGCAGCCATCAGCTGAGCACAGCAGGGACGGACGAAGGTATGCCGGTGCCGGTCACCCCAACAGAGACCAAAGGAAGGACGAGATGCCAGTGACGCTTGATAAGAAGCGACAAAGGAAGCTCGCACTGGAAAGGCACAAGAAGATGAAGTTGGCAGAAGTACAGAATGCTCGACAGCCCGAACAGTCCTTACATGGAGCAAGATTAAAGTACAGAATTCCGTAGAGACGAACTACATGGCAAACATTGTGGATGTGATAGGTTTCGGGGTGACCTCTCTGTAGAGGGTACACCAATGGAAGAAACTCCCATGTGGGACACCCCGATGGATGGGGCAGAGTCCCGTTTGTGGTCAATATTAAGTGGTATTCTTGGCATTACCCAGTACACGTGTGCAATAATAAGCAATTAATGTTAAGAGTGCATTTTAACCTAATGTAAAGAAACCCACAGGAGTATCCGGTGTCTAAATGTGTTTGATGAAATTTTACTTCAAACTACTTGATCTTGTGTTACATAACGTCGTAATCTGTTGGTTAATCCTCACCCAGTTTCGGTCTTTAGGTATAACACGTACACTTTTAAACATTCACAACCAGACTTCAAGATTGTGTTTGAACAACTCTCACTACAATATTACATATTAATATTGATCACCCATTGGAGTTACTTGACTGCAAGTGAACTTTGGTAATGGACAGGACTCCTGAGCAGAGAAGGTTAGAGAAGCTGACGTGATTTATCTTAAAATCAAATTACCAACACAGTAGGCCACCTCAAAACCAATTACTTTAAAATTCAGAAATATCTTCGAACTTTGTTGGTTTGTTAAGCATTTTAATTAGCACTCTTAACATCTGGAATCACTATAATACGATATAATGTTGACTCTAACTTTTGCAACAGCAATTCGTTATATGCACTGTATATATTAAATGGCGCCACTGTCTCTCCAGTCATACAAGTTAGTACGTGGATTGAAGGAAATAAATCTCTTGAGTTAAGGGTACGCCATCAATGGTATAACGTCCACTCCACAAGTAATCAAAATACATACGACACTTTTCGAGCAGAATCAGTCACGTGGTCAGCACTTTTATCTGTGCACACTGTGCAAAGAACACACAACAAAGCGGTTATGTCTGTAGTAGCGTTCTGGACTTGTATTCGGACGGCCACGCGTCGATCGAAACCTGATAGAGTCTGAACTTGCTTAAACACCTGATGCAGCGGCCATGTTTTTTTTACGTTCCATTCGGGAAATCCGGCAACCACTCACAAACGCAGGTCATATAGTCTGCGAGATGGCATCGCCCTATCACAGTGCAGGAACGCAGGTGTTCAGGTATAAAATGCCCGTTAATCTTGGTCGATCTAAACCGAAACAACTAGACAATTTTTCGTAAAACTCCAATACTGAAATAATTCTCGTCTTTTTACGTACGTACGGACGGAGAGGCAATGATTTTAATTGGCGCTCTGTATGGAACCTTAACAAGCACATAAGAAGACTTAAGACATTTTGTAATTATGTTGTGTTGTGTGCCTGCGGGG